CCCTTAGTTATCTAGTTATTTCTCTCTCCTTGTCATGGAAAAAATAAAGGTTCATAAAATGATACGTAATGTTTCTAAAAACATTATTCTGGTTGAATCTAAGCATTAAAAAGGTTAAAAGTGAGCATCTTCTGAAGGTTTATTTATTTCATCATTTTCACAGCTGAGGCAGCACCTAAAGCTGGATGTGTCGAGATCATTTTGTTTTCCTTCTATGTACTGCATTTTCTTTCTGTTATTCTTTGGTTGATGAAAGAACTATTTACGGATTGTGGCACTGCATTTCATAATGGTTTTTCTCAGTTATGTTATTGACATTTCATAATATGGAAACTGCATTTCTTTTTTTTCCCCCATTTGTAGTATACTATAATTTACTCAACCATATGCTATTATCACAACTGTGCTGTCACTGTTTAATACCAATGTGACACTTCTGTTTTAAATTCAGGATGACGCTGATGATGACTGGCTTCCAGAAGATGTGGATGAAGCATTTAAGGTCATGAGGGAGAGAAGAATATTTGATGTGTCAGATATGTATACTATTGCAGATGCCTGGGGATGGACATGGGAGAGAGAACTGAAGATGAGAAAGCCACAAAGATGGTCTCAAGAATGGGAAGTTGATCTAGCAATCAAAATAATGCAGAAGGTAAAGTTTCTTACAGTCCTTGATATAATTGTTTAATCAACAGGAAAGTCTTTATCTCGTATTTGGCTACGTGATTCCGTTTCTCCACTCATTCTGTCAAGGATCATTTTCTTTTGAGTTAACCAGTAAGAGATCCTTTTGTCCCTGTCTTAATTCATGTTCATCTAGGTTACCCTAGCTGTGATCTAGCCACTTCTTGAACTTTGACCCTATCACTGCTAGTGCTAAGTTCTAACTACACCTACTTCGGATCATCTCAAGTGGCATTTTAGCCACAAGCGAAGCTTACGTCTAACTGGCACTTGGCACTTATCCATCTGTCAAATACCTTGTTAGAACGATACTTATTTGAATAGCATATTTTTTTATATCAATTTCAAGAAGCGAGGTATGGAGCTGAGCCGTACTTCTAGCAAGTCTTTGATAATGACAAATCGATTATTTTTTCATGATTGTGTTGCTGTTCCCTTTCTATTATTATTTCCTCATCAGTGTTCTCTTGTGCTTTTTAGTCTGGAGGTGCACAGTTGTGTATGAAGTTAATTATTTTTTTCTCCCTCATCAAATTTTAGTTGTGGAGAGGCCTTTAACATGTAATTGTACACAACAAGTTAGTTATATTTCTTCAGTACTTTCTGTAGTTTAGAAATCTATCCAACTTTTAGAATTTCAATAATAATGGTTCATTTAGGAGCACCAAGTACTGTCTGGATTAGAAGAAAATTAACTGAAGAATGTGCATGATCAATTTTCAGGTCATTGAATTAGGTGGAACACCAACCATTGGAGACTGTGCCATGATTTTGCGTGCTGCAATAAGAGCTCCTCTCCCTTCAGCTTTCTTGACAATATTGCAGAAAGCTCATGGTCTTGGTTATGTTTTTGGGAGGTAACCGTTAAACTTTTGCTTAAAATGTTGCATTAATATTTTCTTTTTCCTGAAGTCCTGAATTGTTAAATAATGAGATAATATGATGTGCTCTTAATCATGCCAAAAACATGAGCATACTTCTGAGTGGTGACGGTTAAGTAATCTGACAACATGAGATCCCTAACATTCTACGTTAAAGAATCTACAATGGCATGGGTGTTTTGCACAATGATAGAAGGGCGCTTTACCAGTAGACCAAAAATGCTTAACATAGTGAGATCTATGGGATGATTAGGTTCTCCTAATATTGGGACAGAGAGTAGAAATTTAATATATCTATTTTTATCTGTGTCTAGTCTCATCGCCCTTCAGGCTTGAGCTCAAAGTCTAATAAATAAGCTCCTAAACTTTAACCAACTTTTCTGTAAAGCCCTCGGACTCTTATTTTAAACTATTAAGCCCCTAAACTTAGTCCAACTTTTCTATGAAGCCCTTGAACTCTTGTTTTAGTCTATTAAGCCCCTAAAGTTTGTACTTTCATTCTATATAGCCCCTATGTTGGTTCAACATAACTATAAAAGGGTATAATGGTCTCATTGAATGTGTTTTAAGGGAAGTGAATACTCTCATGCCCACCATTTGTAGAAGGATATAATTACATATAACTAAACAGATTATAGATTAGTTAAAGAAAAAAAAAACCCCTCAATGTTTGACTAGAGGAAAAAAAGCCCAATAAAATTCAATTGCACTTGTTGTTTCTACTTCAATCAAATACATTCTTGTATCTTAATTATATTCACATCGCAATGCTTTAATTTTTCATTATGTGCACCCAAAAACTTGCACACCAGGTGGTAAAAAAAATTAAAACTTTGAACAAATAGCAGGTAGAACAAAAAAGCTCAAATTGTAACACTCGTGTCATTGTTTTTACGATATTCCAATTATACCCGAGTTAAAATTTGTATTTGGCTGGTGTTTGATTAAAACCACCATGGGGGCTAAATAGCATGAAATTCAAAACTGCACGGGCTAAATAAAATGAAAGTAAAATCTTTAAGGGCTATAAAGATTGAAATAAGAGTTTGAGGGCTTCATAGAAAAGTTGGGTAAAGCTTGGGGGCTTAATAGATTAAAATGGAAGTTTAAGGGCTCCCTAGGAAAGTTGTGTAAAGTTTAGGGGCTTCCTGGACTTTGAACTCTTCAGGCTTACATATTCAGATCCTATGTCCATCTTATCAGTAACTTTGTTTATTTGTTGATATGGACCAGTGGTTTATGCTTTGTACAAGTACTATTTTTGTTCTTGGGTAGTCACATAATAGGCGTGTGTATGCGTGTTTGAAGAAAGGACATTGCCCAGATCAATTTTCAAATCTCGTAACAACATTTTTAACCTAGGCTATAAGCTAAAGATTTGCTGGGTCAATTTTGAAATCTTGCAATAACATTTTCACCTAGGTTGTGAGCTGAGATTTCGCCAACCTGGTCTTGTCATGCTTTCTTAATTCATACTAACTTTGATTACTTGTTTGATCTTTTTCAGAAAAGACTCAGCAATTCTTTAACGTAAAAGTACATTTCTTTTCTGTTCGTGTAGTGAGTAACACTACTGTCAAAAGAGGTACTGAATGTTTTAATATTGAGTACCAAAAACTCTTGTTGGGCGTGTAGTTTGTATTTGCAATTTGATGGAAGTATTCATTGTGTTTTACCTAATTATACAAAAAAAACAATACATTGATTTCAAATGGGTATGAACGCACTCTCAAGTTCTTCTTTTGTGTGTCATCAAATGCTAGCAGTGATCAATTCAGATTTACATTAGCTCCTTGATATCATTTTAAAGTACTCTCGTCCTTAACCTTTCACATTATATTTTCAACTTTGGATCTGAACTTCTAAATATTTTTCAATTATATCCATTTCGGGGTGACCTATATAGCCCATTGTATGATGAAGTCATCTTGCTGTGCCTCGACCTTGGGGAAGTGGATGCGGCTATTGCAATTGTCGCGGACTTGGAGACCATCGGAATCAAAGTTCCAGATGAAACCCTAGACAAGGTACTCGCTGCCAGACAAAGTGGTGACTCAACTACAGAAGAGACATCAGTTGATGAGTAAGCATTACTGCATCTCTGTAACAAAGCTTCACTCTTTCACGGTGAAAACCATGCACATAAGAACGAGCATTACTGGTTTCAGTCTCAAAATTAGTGCCTCCACAAGGCTGAAGCTAAGCTAGCATAAGAGATCCCAGGTTTGATATGCTCAAGTCCTTCGATTGGAGATCGTCTTCTGTAAAAATGAACATTAGCGTATTTCTCCAATTATTTGTTGCGTTGTGCAAAGGTGGCAAATAGAGTCTTTTGATTGTAACCATAATATATCATGCTGAACTACGTTGTACCAAGCTTGGTTTTTGTATCAACCAACGCTTGATTGAAATAAGGGGCAGAGTGATCAAGTTATTTTCTTTTTGGATGTGTCTGATTTGAATGTGGGGTGTTAGTGGGAGGGGATTTTGAAATACATATTTTGATCGAAATTGTACATTCTTATACTTTGAAACCACACTGTAACTGTGGTTTGCAAACAAACTTGAGCGACATGTAATCTTACCCTGCGATCTTCATTCCAGCGTGAGATACTCATGTTCTTGATATATTTGAATTACAAAAAATTTATTTTCCAACACTTAATTCTAGTAAAGAAAATTTCCATTTCATTTCCACTCTTGAGAAGTAATAAATGATTCCGCTCTCTTAAGAAATAATAAATGACAGCAAAGAAGGAAAAAGAAATTTTTGTTTTCATTTAAGATAATTCTGGCTTCTGTTTGAACTCATCCAGCAAAAGTCCCTACATACAAAAAGATTGGAAAAAAAAAACTAGATAGAAGTGCTACATTTTTATGCATAAGACATGCCATCAGATTTAGCTTAAAAAGAGTAGGGTTATTTGCATATATACCTCTTGAGTCACCAAATCTCAGTATTTACAAATTTACTCGTCAAATTATTACTCGGAGCAATTAATCATCAACTTTGATGAGATGATTTGTAATAGTAATATAAACATTATCAACAAAATAGTCAAAAATTTTAACTCCAAATTAATGATTTGTTGATTTTAAGAGTATTTTTTTCACAAAGTTAATAGTTTGAGTAGTAGTTTGCAAATATTACTATTTTAGGGATAGCTTTGCAAATACCAATGTGTAGCGAGTATCTATGCAAATAACCCATAAAAGCAATATTTCTTTTCAATGCCGCTACTGTCCTGGGCCGCAACAGTACACGTTATTGACAGCCCACAACACGTTAAAAGACAACGCGATGAAAACACAGCTAGAAAGCTTTGTTTAACACGGTAGACTTCTGATAGATCCTCTGAGCTCAGTCTTACAAGGAATTGCAGCAAAACAATAAAGAAACTCGTGAGAAATGCATTGAAGAAAAATAATCTCTTGAAGAAACATTTGACAAATTCATCACAAATAAAACCAATATGTACACGAGGTCTGCTACAACAAATAGATAAGTTGTACCAAATACTGATATATGGAACTCTACTAAATGGGAGAACATTTCTAGAACTCCCTATCCATTACAAAAACACCCAAGTCTCACCATGAATTTTACACTCAGCCACATCCTCGTCGCCACAAAAAACCACAAACTTGTAAAAAGCCAAATGGGACACATTTTACACTATACAAATACACAATAATTGAATAAACAACAGAAATGCCCAAATACTCACCCACCAAACAAAAAAGAAAAATGAGAGGATGCACACTCGTCAATGGTTAGCGTCGATCGTCGTGCCAGATCTTGCCTGAGAAATCCTGTTAGCATAAATAGTTACCAATCTCAGCTGAGTACTGCTAAGCCCTTCCAAATAAGGAAGAAATGCCTTTCCAAGCATGATGTATATGTCCACCAAACAAAACACCACCGTCTGCAAGAAGCCAATGAGAAGGGATATTTGAAGAAAAAAAATATGAATCTTTTCAAATAAAGAAGGATCAGAAAAAAGTTTGATTTCTGTGAAGATAACCATTAAATAATCTGTTCTCACGAACACGATCATGATTAGTGTAGTTACATTCTGATACATAAAACATTATTTGATAGAATCCATGAGATTATCAAACAGATGCATGCTCCACATGAAATTTAAAAATCTTTATAAGTACATCACTGAAGAATGTAAGACTACTTGGTTGACGGTTTAAATTGCATGACAAAAAGGATCTTGGAAGCAGAAGCTGTGACAGAATCACATTTCTGAGAAATGCTTAATGAAGAGAGCCTACAAAAGAATTCGACGAGGTCTCAGCGACAAGAGGTTGAATGTAGATCAAACACTATTCCTTTAGTCCCATATTTGACATGCTAACAGGGTGTTATTCTGCTGCGAAAACTGATTTGAGTCGTCTCATGCTTTTCTATCACTCCAAAGCTTTGAGGTTTATATCTGTAGTTATCTGGCTTCATACCCAGTTTCTTTTTAGAGATCTAGTCAATGCCTTCATAGTAGTTAGCCATTCGACTCACCCAAGAAGTTGTTTATGCCTTCTTTTACCAATGAAATTGGGAATAGTATTTAACTTATTGCCAAGGGTGAGATATGTGTTTGATCTAGTGACATGATGCTTCTAATCCATTTTAATATTGTAGGAGAAAGATTGTTTAGCGGAAGATGCTAACTACACGTATGGAAATCAAGTGATACTTATGTTTTGTTTGGCGAATTAACCATAAATCATCATAGGAAAAGGAAAATAACATAAACTTATATACACCCATGGACATATGCAAGCATTTCTACATATAAAGTAGTAAAAGTTAATCTAATATATGTTAAGCCAACACAATATGTTCAATCATTATTATTTATGTTCTTATGTATTGACTTCTATTATCATCAAAGTACCCTCTCTTTCTGAGTTTTCTTTTATCCAGAAATCCAGTTCCCATCATCTTTTGGCCAGAGATACCGCTGTCTTCTCCATGTTATATGAGAACAGTACAATATGTTGTACGAGTAATGGAGATCTAACCTTACGAACATCCGGACTCTGGTTCCCAAAAGCATCAAAAAGTGCAGGCAGAAATGAAGGCAATTGTGTCATCAATTCCTCCTGTGAAAGCCGACCAACAAGCTGACAGAAAATAAAGGTGACATCAGTCTCAGCATGGTAATTGCCCACTATTAGTACACCCAAATTCTACCATTAAGAGCCCAAATAATTAAGCTAAGCTTTAGTTTGAAATGTTTCTAAATAGCAAATTCATAGGGGAGAAAACTATAAGTGACTTGGAAAAAAAAAGAAATAACAGTGGCTAACTGTGCATCTCCAGAGAGAAGGATTAAAAAATAAGAGATATTTGAGCATCTATAGTTCTCTAGCATAATAATCGTTTACAAAAACAAAACCTGTAAACCAAGCAAGTATTGAACTTCTTATTACTTCAGGAGGAAGATAGACCCTCACTTCATAATAAAAGAGCACACTGATCAACTACTGCAGCAGCCTTTAGACTTTGTTCAATTTGAAAAATAGCATCTAATATCAGGAAAAAGGTTACTCTTGTTTTGTCATTAGCTGTCAAGCCATGAATGGACGTGCATCAAGTAGGTTATTTTTATCTCTCAATTCACTAATGCCTCGGCATACCACATTTCTTGCTGTCAATGCATGCATTCCGCAAATTGTGTACTTTCTCATTAGAGAGGCTTTATATAAGAGTCTACTCTACATCACTTTTTTTGAGAAACATTTCGGAGATATACGTCATGAATCACGATTCACAACGTATCGAAGTCGAAGGATCTTGGATCACATTTGGGGTACTAGAATCATATCTTTTGGTCTGAGATTTTTACAGCCAGCGAAGGGTCATCGCAAAGGGAAAATGTCTGAGTGGCCGAGGGACCTAACTAGATGAGATATCATAGATGCAGCCCTCTTAACTTCGAACAATCACAGATCACGAACATTTCTCCTTATACCTAGATTTTAACTAACATAGATACTATCATTTGGTAGTGCTCTCAACTCTGCTACTGCTAGCATTTCAACTCTTCCACTCGTTAAAATCACGAGTGTGCCTTCTTTGTAGACAATATACTGCACCAAGTTTAACCTTGTTAGCTCCAAATCACAGTAATTACATTGGAATATCTCAAAGTCATTTTTTTTTAAAACACAGGATAAAAATTTTCAAAAATATAACTTCCAATGTCCGCAGTCTATAGAAGCCCCACCGTAGCTATAGGTCTTCATAGCTGATGGGTACTGGGGATCCGATCCCATAACGATAAAGCCCTATAAACTACAATATAGCGTTCAGGCCCCCCCCCCCCCCCCCAAAAAAAAAAAAAAAAAAAAAAAAACACCCCAACACACACACCCCTTGAAATATGAAAAAATGTCAAAGGGGTGTTGGGTAAATTGTAGTATTGATATGACTATTGACCTTTCCCTTTAGGTTTGATGGAAAAAAAATGAAACAAAGGGGATAAAGAACAGTATATTCTTTTTCGTCCTTTTGTTTTTTGGTTTGGTTTTGTACTCTAGGAAAGGATCTGCTGCATTCTTGAAATAGGAAACACGACTTGCTTTGGTGTTTTGGCCTTTTGGGTGCACTTTTTCTTTTGGGTAATTCATCTTTAATTAAAAAGGGTAGTAAACATTTTCTTTGGTGATGATGTCAGCCAAGGAATTGAATGGATAGGATGTACATAATATTGTTAATTGATAATCACATTTTATTACAATATTATACCCTCATTATCTATTTTATATGAATAAATATACCACTAATAATTATTTTTATCATTTAATTGCAGGTTAATGAAGAATAAATCTCAAACTCTCATCTCTCAACAAAAACCCATTGATTAAATGAAGAAATGAAGTAAAGAAGCCCATTGGAAAATCAATTTCCAAATTATCCAAAAGCCCAGAATCAAGCCGAGTAGCCTGTAAAAGCCGGAGAAAATCAAAAATCCAATATGAAAAGAAATCATATTCAAAATGGTTGGCGACAAAGAAACGACTATATCTTCTAATCCGGAAGGCAGAATTTAACATATAATGTATGAAAATCGCCTATCTCGACGAGACGAAGCTATCCGTGAAATCAGAATTTGGATATAGTGGGTATCAGTGTTTTTAAAGGCGCTCCCAGGCGCGCGCCTCGGGCGCGAGGCGCTTCGGCGCAGTGGATTAGCGCCCCGCAGCAGGTGCGGGGCGCTACACTTGCGTCGGGCGCGCGCCTGGGGAGCGCCCCGCAGCGCCTGCCGCCTTCGTCGATGCGCGCGCATGAGTAACAGGCATAATTCCACTTTTATTTTGTGGGTTATTGGGTATGAACCCGCTTCCCACTTAAAACCGATTTCGTTTTTAGGGTTCAGTCACTCGACTCGCTCCTTCTCCCACTCCTGAATCCCGATTTCTTCGCTCGACTTGATTCCCCACTCGACAGCAGCATGCGGCGACGGGCGACTGCTAAAGGCGACTGACGATGGCTAGCGGCGAGCGGCGACAGCGAGCAGCAAACAGGTGCGTTTTCTTCTCTCTCAGCGATGATTTTCTGCTCCTTTTCTTTCTTTTTTTTTGCGTTTTCTTTTTTCTTTTCTTTTCTTCTCAGCGAGAAGGTCTGTTCAACGTCTCAGGCCCGATGTTTTTTTCTTTTTTTTCGTTTTTGAGTTCTCTTTCGTTTTTGAGTTCTCTTTCGTTTTTGAGTTCTCTTTCTCTGCTCCTTCCCGATGTTTTTTTCTTTTCTTTCTTTCTTTTTTTTTCTTTTCGTTTTTGCGTTCTCTTTCTCTGCTCTCAGCGTTGTTTTTTTCTTTTCTTTTCTTTTTCTTTTTGCGTTCTCTTAATTAAGGAGTAAGGACAGCGAGGTGTTTTCTTTTTTCTTTTCTGATGTTTTAAAATCTGAGTTTTTAGTGGTTAACTGTTAAGTGTAAAATGTTAATTAAGTTCACTCTTCTAAACTTGATTTGAATCATTTGATTTTATTGTTAACTAACTTATAAAGAGAGATTTAATGTTAACTAACATAGCCTTCCTAGCTGTTAATTTTTAATTTAATTTATTTTATTATTATCGCTCTTGACTATTAACTGTTTTTTTTCTTTGGCTTAATATCAAAATGCAAAGTCATGATATTATGAACTAATTGCTTGCTTCTTATTAATACATATCAGCCATAAATGTTGAAAATTTTCAAGCTTATTGATGTAGTACTAATTTTACAGCTACTATTTGATTTCTTGTGCGGGACTGCTAGTATTTATTCTTGCTATTTGAGCTAGGTGTAGTACTACTGGTTGAAACTTGAAACTTGATTCGCCATTTGTAACCTGGAAAGAGGAAAATAAAATTTAGCAATATAGTTGTTAGTGATGCAATATACTAGAGATAAAAGTTTGAATAATTTGCATGATTGAATGATTTGTTAGTAATTAGTATATATTTTATTTATCTGGAGTCCTTGACATTTTTATGTGAAATTTCACAAAAATATATATTTATTCATGCATATAGTATATCTTCAAAAATTTTGTAGTATGGAGTGCGCCTCGCTTCGCTCGGGCGCGCGCATCGCATTGCGCCTTGCGCCTTGCGCATATGCGTGTAAACTGACTTTGCTCGATGTGGGCATCGATGCCTGCATCGATACCAGCATCGATGCCTGCATCGATGCCAGTTTACTGTAGCGCGAGTCAATGGCTAATTTTGCTTGTCTTGGGGCTCAAGTTTGATCCAATGCTCTCATTCACTGAAGTTTACTATAAATAGGGGTCGAGAGTGAAAGGTTAGAGGTGTGAAAATTTTTGTAACTCCTTTTGGAGAGGAGGACTACTCTTAATTGAGAAGGCCTTCCAAATTTGTAATTTTTTGTTACAATTAATAATAATAATTTTTTTACCATTTTAAATATTTCTTCTCTTTGTTGGATGATAAAGATAGAGATGAAGAATTATTTAGAGGTTTGTATTTCTTTCCTTTTTCTCTTTTATTTCTTTTTTATTGCTTATTAGTTTAGATTTATTTCTATGCTTAGTTAGATTTTATTTTCTTGTTAAATAGTCAAAAGGCTAGAACCCTATTGCCTTAGATTTATTTCATGCTTATAGATTAGATTTATTTCATGCTTATAGAGTAGATTTATTTTCTTACATTTAATTCTTGTAATTTATTTTGTAGTTTAGATTTTGTAATTTATTTTATAGTTAGATTTTAATTTCTTACACTATTCACCTTGAGGCTAGAACCCTCTTGGGTTTAGTTTTTCTTTTTGTTTATTTTTATTTTTGTTTGATTCGCCTTTAGGCTAGAACCCTCTAGGGAATCACTATTTTCTAAGAAGTGAGTTTAATTTTAGATTACCCACATCTATAATTGAATCCACCATCTTTAATTTCTTGCATTTTCTTTTATTCTTGAATTTTATTTTTCATTCTTGATTTTTATTTGTTTCTCGATTTTATTCATTCTTCCTTCTTGCCTTATTGATCACATTCATTCTTTGTCACATCCACTCTCACTTACATTTTGCGCCTATTTACACACAATCTTCTCTCTCAATCTCTTCACAATCACATTCACTCATCACTCCTATTTGTCACGCACACAACATAAGAACCGATTTTATATTTTCTCCTACAAAACACCTTCCTCGTGGGATCGATATCTTTATACTATAACTTGACACTGTTGTGCACTTGCAACTTTTTGGTACATGTTTATGCCACATCATTAATACAAGAAGTTCCACCATAGCTGTTGCTGTTCTTGGCTAGTATGTGAGAATAAACTTGAGCAGAAATTAAGACTGGGGGAGATGATTAGAGAGATCATTGCATTATTTCTATTTTTTAAGGTTGAAAAGTCTAGATGTACAGCTGCTTGAGAAAATCTGCCTCTACTTTTGTTATTTGTAGCCCTTGATAGTGTCATTGTTACTTGGTTTATTACTCTGAAGACATTTGATTCACGAGCCAAAAGTATTAATGCTTATTATTGCTCAAATTTAACAAGTGTATGAAATAGAGGAATCTAATTAGGAGCATTTCGACATTACTAGAGAAAAACACACATGATATATCATGATTATAGTCTAGGAGAAAAAACTAAACGAAACTCATTATGTACTTGATGTTTAGATATTAATTAATTGCGCAAAAAACTATACATTATCGTGTTTAATTATTAATTTTTTGGACCCCCTGCCAAAATCCCTGGCTCCGCCACTGCATAAGTATATATTAAACTCCACAAAACCAAATACAAGAATTGACTCCAGTCTATAGCTGAAGTTCTGAACTCTTGTAATGGTGGATTAATGCCAAGTTATTGGTATTAGGAGGCAATATAAGCTAGCCAGCTGTTAAAAATGTTATCTGCTGACTGCTGACTTTTGAACACTGAACGCAAGGATTCATACTTAATTTTTCAGACTAAAGTTGTAAATATAGGTAGTAATTTTTTCTTTCAGCATGGTATGCAAGTAAATTGTTATTTCTTTTTAACCTGCCAGAGCTCTCTCAAGAGTGAAAATCTTGTGGTTTGTTCTTGCATAGTGAAACAGGTTTATGTGAATTAATCATCGAACAAAAAAACCTTGGTCATAACCATTTGGTCTGTTACAGATTTTCCATGCTATGGAAACTGTATTGATTCCTGGAAAAGGAAGGATGAGAGGCTTAAATTTACCTTGGTCAAACAGTTGGTGCAAATAACAAGGGTCTTCTCATCATCACTAACCAATAAAGGAACAATAACCTGCAGCATTTCCAAAAGGCAAAGCATAAGGACATTGATGCCTAGACTTTTACAAGTGAGCTCTTGTTAGAAAGTTGAAACTGGAATTCACATACAGTAAGACATCGAAATGGGTCGTACTGAGCTAGAAGAATAGTCAAACATTTATGTGCTTCATTTGAGACCTGTAGCGAAAAACAACTTACTAATGGGAGGAAAGAAGCAAATTTAGGCAACTAAAACAAGAGAAAAAGAAAAAAGCAGTACAATACCTTTGCAACTCCGTCTTTAGCTGCATGTAATAACTTTTCGGTAACGATCTCCATTGAATCTTCCATTGACTCTTTCTGCTTGCAACTGACATATCACCACCAGAGCCAAACCAGGAGAGAAGAAAAAAAAAGTTCATGGCGTAAAGTTGCTGTCAAACCTGATTGTTGAGCATCTCAACTATCAAAGAAAGAGCGAGCTCCCTGGTAGACGAATCAGGGTCATCCAACACCTCAAGTACTGCTGTTAAGATTTGGTTGAAGTACTGCAGTCATAGTGTTAGCTGTCAATCATTCATGTATCCTTGATAGAATACTAAACTTTTCCCTACTCAGCATTACTAAGACGATACTGTGAACTTTTGCATGTATAAAAGAGGGGTGACAAACATGACAATGAGTGCATGTCATTGTCATGTTACTCACCCCTCTTTTTTATATGCAATTGACAACCCAGCCCTTAGTTGTGATCTAACCGTAAGATGCGGAAATGCTTATAACATAAATCTGCGACATGTCGAGCATATATCAAACACAAAAAAATTCTGTGCAATATTTGTGCGCCCACATTTCATGTGAACGTTTTAAATATCGGCCAATAAACCGATATTACCGGCGATTTATCGGTTTTTGGGGCCTTCCGCTATGATAAGTTCGATTCTAAATCGGTTGTCATTTTTGGATGTATATTGCTGATAATGCGGCGATAAAGTGAGTTATCAACAGATATTGTCGGCCCAAAAATCAGAATTATTGGCCTTTGGTTTGAGTTTAAATTTCGAGCAATAAGCACTTATTCAATGCACTTTAAACCCGACCCGAGTTTCTACCATTGGTTAGTGATCCTAAACATAATTATTTACATTTTGGTATGTTTATATTCATTAAGTATGATTAGATTATATTTTAGAATATTATATTATGTATATCACCATCCGGTAATGTCACTCCTATAAATACTACTTATCCCCGCTATATCCTCAATATCCGTTATCCGATATGAATTTTGACCGTCCGATAAATCCCCGATAACCGATATTTAAAACCTTGTTTCATATACATGATGGTGTGTTCATGCCATGCATTATATTGTAGGACTTTCAAACCTCGCTCATTATTCATTAAATACTATTACACCTGGAATATCCTAGAATGCAGCTCAATGTAGATCAACATAATGAAGTGGGTTTTCAATTGAGTGTCTAATCATTAGGCATGAACAAGTAATGCACATAAGACTCAAAGCAATAAAAGACAAGTACATAAGGTACAAGGTAGCCGACAATAAGCCAATAAATCAAACAATATGAAACCTACTATATATTGCAACTTTATATTCACATTTCAAGCAAAATTCGGCTGAGAAAAGGATGTACAAAGCCAAGAAACATATGCAACAGCACAAAGTGGCGAAATTTACCTTGGTCCATACAGTACTATCGTTAACCATCGAAGCTTCAACCAACTGTTGCAATGCTTCCCGTTTATTCAAAGCTGATGTATCATCACCACTGCTGCAAATCTACATGCAAAATTTTATATAATTGATTTATCAAATGGAGTATAACTAATACATAATGGATATCTCAAAACAACATTCTTTGGCAAGAGTTCAGAAAGACTTGCAAAATTACCCGGTGTAGGATCTGGGGGATGCTTGGACTGTTATCAACATGAGAATTGCCCTTTGCAGGACTAAGCTTCTCATCTATAGGCTCCCTATCTTGAATAATGTCATTACTAGAAGTCAACCCGCTAACCATGGGCCCATCATGACTCAAAAGTTTATTAATATCTAGTCGTGGAGTTCCCAATGAACTCTCATGTTCAGCACCTTGATCTGCTTTGTCGATGGAAGTTGTCCATGCCTCACTACGGTCTACTTGGCGATTGGCATTGAATTTCATTTCCCTGCTCTTTTGACCTAGAAGCTCTGTATCAGAGTCAGGTTCAATGTTTCGATGAGGGTGTCGAGTTTCATCAGATATTCCCTGACCAACTGAAGCATCAATCTGAGTTGATTCCTGCATGGAACTCCACTTTCTTCCACTTTCACTATCAACTGATCCTGCTGAGTACCTGCCAAAAAGCTGACTTTTTCTAGATGTTCCTATATAGCCTTCCTCAAAAGAAGTTCCAATGACATCAGACTGGTCATAAAAAGATTTGGAACGTTGACGTTCTTTCTTAGTCTGTAAATAGTTCATCAGGTCAACTTCTATACGAGGGGTATACTGTTTAAGCGCTCGCCGCAATGAGTTCTGTTCTTGAACTGACAAACTAAGAATAAAGTTCAACACCGCTGTTGAATCAAAATGCGTGTAAACAGATATGATTCCTGAAATAGATGCTTCCTTGAGCTTTGTATTTTTATCATTTACTAAAGGTGCCAATTTAGCAAGCCATAGCTTGAGAAACCCACTATTATTATAACTATCAGAATTTGCTGCATGTTTGTTGAAGGAGTTATTTGCGAAGTCAATAACAGCTAATTTTGCCTTTGGGGACCTCTGTTCATCAAGAGACCGCAAAAGAGCAGGCAACAAAGAATCAGTGCTGTATGTTCTACCAACAATGTCCAGAGTTGTTGAGCATGGCTGCCTAACTAATTCCTTTGGGTCAATCAATCGAGAAAAAACATATGGTAGAATTCTTTCAAGATAACTTTCAAATGGCTTTCTACACGCCGGAATAATCTCTGAAAGTGTTGAAAGAGCTGCTTGTGCAACTTTATGGTGGGGATCATCCAAATGTCGAAAGAACAACTTCATGACCTTCTCAAAATTCTGTGTAACTTCTTGAACCCCTCTCGGTCCTTGCTGTAGCAAATTTCGAAGATAATTAAAAGCAGAAACTCTAGCAACCCAATCTGAGTTGGAACTCAAACCCTCAGTAAGGGCATCACCAAGAGATGCAGGGCCCTCAGCAAAATTAGACATTTCAGCCATTGAGGTCTGACTCTCATCAAAACTATTTCTGCCACTTGCAGAAACCCTTCCAGTAACCTGCTTTCTAAGAAGTGGCCTCTGAAAATTAGGAACATAATGATTATGTGAATCCCTAAAGCCAGAATCCTTGTAATGTGCATCAAAGAATTGTTTCTCCATATGCACATTTGTGTAACGCTTCGTTGATCTGATATCAGTATTGTCTTCAAAATTTCCATCTAGCGATCTTCCAGATCTTCTAGCCGTGGCCAATGACAATGAAGACAGAGAATCAGAGGACAGTTTGCTTTGGTAGGATGACTTAGTTGAATCTCTTGAGCTCTGAAAACCAATGAGATCAGTCAAATTTGAACCTCCATTCCTTGTGCTGCTGCCTTTTGTGATATCACCAACAGCTGAATCGACTGAATTCCTTGAAAGGAGATTATTTGAACCAGAAACTGCAGTAGGAAATGGTGGATCACGGGCCGATGGAGGGTCAACTCCTGCACTTGGACCAAAAGAGGAGAGAATAAACCTTTAGCTTATTCAGTGCATTTCAGCATTGCAGATACTAACCATATTGTTACAACAAAACAGTGTATTTTAGTCATAGCTCCTCAAAACTAATATATCTAATTACTACTACTAATAGGATCAAGCATCCCAATTTATACCTAGATCCAAGCTGGTTGAGTGTGTAATTGAAGACTTTGATTTATCAGATATGTTAATGCCTCTCAGTAAACTTTCAATGGCAGAAACTTTTTGCTTGCTGGAGTGCAGCATGCTCTCAAGACTTCTCTCCGAAGAATTCCCAGGTGGCTTTAGCTGTGATGAAAGAAGAGAACCTGAAGATAAAGAGGGTGCAACAGTTGAACTCCTGTCCATTGCAATAATGGCAGAAGTACTGTATCCAGGAATATTTGATGTAGGGGCATGAGAAGGAGCACGTGAAAGCTGTGCTCCTCTTTCGCGAAGTGAGGGGGAAGCATATCTTTTGTGCAAGCCTCCGTCTTCATCATTTATTATCTGCAAATTAATTCCTTCATATGAGTAAAAGATACGAAAAGCTAGAATAAACACATCCCTGAAACAATGGTGTACCCTTTGTATGACAGGATCAAAGGATAAAAAAAGGCGACGAGATCGCTCTGGCCAAGTTTTAGTGAACATCCGATAGCATATTCGAGCAGTTGAGCGCACCTATATGGTTACCAAAATATTATTCAGTTCATCAGAAAGCAAGAATATATACAGCTCAGATAGAATCCTAAACAAAAGCACATGCTCATGTGGGAAAGCAAGTTCATACATAAATGATAACAATGACAAATGCAACAGTCTTTATCTTGAACTTTTTCAGTCATCTGCATACATCCTCCTCCCTGCAACCCTATAAATAATGACTCTGGGAACTTACTGACATACAGATAATCTCTGTTTAATTACTATAATCTATACTCTCCACCCTAGTCTAGCCACCTTCTTAGCTACAATCTTGCTTGTATTGACACTTGTCTCTGTCAACGTTCGCATTTCACCTAGATTCTTTTTTCCACGTGTAAATGGTAATGAGATTTAAAGTCTGACGGCAGCCAAACTAACAAAAAAACCTATATAGTTATGGATGGCAATTCAGCCCTCCATTTGCAACGAAAATCACGAATAAACTGCTCAAGCAAGAAATACATAATTCACACAGGCATGCCTACATTGTTTGTTAAAGAAAATCCATAAAAATGTAGCACAGCTGCACAGTTATGACAACCTGATATTGTCAAAACTCATGCAGGGAACTTAATGCTTGGAAACAATGGATTCATGCATGAAAGATTGGTATCAAGCTAAATCATGAAAACGAATATAGTGACAAAGAATGGATTGCATGAAAGCTTTGCATTGTTTTCAAAGAAGCATAAATGTCAAGTATAGTACTGGAAATATTGATCACCATGTGAAAAATACCTTGATAATCCATCTAAGTGAATAGATAAAGCTATTCTAAGCCACGCCTTGTATCCCGGCCTTTTTATGGAACATTTGTATAAGTTTGTTTCTAAATTATGTGTGCCTCAGAATTAATCCTTAATACAACAACTACAACCAATAATTGAGCCTCTATACCAAATTATTGAGATTAGCTATATGAATCACTTTTCACCAACAACTACAACCAATAATTGAGCCTCTATACCAAATTATTGAGATTAGCTATATGAATCACTTTTCACCATTAGTCCAATTAATGGTCATTCCTCTATACCAAATTATTGAGATTAGCTATATGAATCACTTTTCACCATTAGTCCAATTAATGGTCATTACTTTATAATAATATTAGCAACTAACATATCCTTTTCATTGCTTTTGATCCATCCTGTTTTTCAATTAACCCTTTCCTAATAAGTCTTCTTGACTAATACTCATTTATGTCCATGACCTCCATAAGCCCTCATATATCAGCCCAAAAGTTGACTTACAGCTTATCACTTTAAATCAATGGATTTAGAAAGAGAAGTAATTTACTAAACAGTTATCACATTGCTTATAACTTTGTTCGAGTGAACGAACCTGTTTAGCAGCATTCATATAGCATTAATGTATTATCAAATTAAAATTCGTACCTCACCCATTGCATCTGCAACACAACACTTTATGAGATCTTCATAAAGCTCCGCTGATCTCTGTATTTCAGGAGCATCAGCCCAGTATTCGAGTATCAGTAATGCATATTCACAGCACCTGAGACAGCATGACATATAGTTGAATGAGGATAAAACCAAAGCACAAATCAACTAAATTCCTTTTACCTGGCACGAAGAACCGCACTCCTGTCATTCTTTGCAGAATCAGCTATCCGAGGAAGAACACGAGCAACCTTACAGTTCCGCAACATCTGAAATACTAAAATATCAGTAAAACCACAGTATCAGATGACTAAATCAAGTGCTCAAAGTTCATACCGTCTTTATGCAATTGTCAGCAGACTCAGCAATAACAAGGACAGTTATCACTACAAGTTTAAATAACACCTAAAACACATCAATCTGCAGGTTAATAAATATTTTTCAGAAGACATTAATCTAATGGCCACACGCTAAATCAGCATAATGATAATACCGGTATGAACAACTCTGCGCAAGCCTCAAAGTCTCCCAAAAGTTCCTTAGATAGTAGGTTTAGCAGATGACAGGCCTATAGAAACAAATAACCCCGATAATTTTCAGTACTGTATCACAGAATGTCAAAAACTGCAAGAAAAATTATAATAAAAGAATATCAAGTTAACTTATAAGCTTTTCCATAATTCCATTAATGATGGGCATGAAAACTATCATAAGCAAGTTACAGAAAATAGCATCATAGATTCACAGGTGAGTGGCAACAATGAAGGTAAATTTGATCAGCTGGTCGGAAAAGTTTCAGTAATATTGGATGAGAATCTAAAGGGCCTATCTTAAGCCATACTAGAAGACAACCGATGAAGGTTTGCTCAATATTTTTAATGCCAGAGTCATTCAACAAATGAAAACTTATGAAACAGTCAAATACAATGACTCAATCATTTTTTTAAATAACTACCATCAGCAATGTAGCATGGCTAACAACCTTCACTTCCTACATCAAACAAGCTAGGAATCTCATTCAATGATATTTGACGGGTAACAACTAACTAATCAAGTATGGAGAACTGATGACATTCCACTGCAGTCCTGTCTTTCAGCAATCAGTCTGCCCATGATAGTTATCAAATATGAAATCAGTAAATGCCAGGAAATAATGGATAACAATGGGAATAGCTAACTGCCTTTTATGGAAGAATATAAGCTCATGGATTGTGATATGACAATATTGTCAAGCAAACTTGACCCTTAACATTGTTCCCCACACGGGCTTTCGACCACATGAGAGCGCTCCAGGTGTAGACATCGCACCCTTGAAAGCGCAGAATGTTGGCATCAAATAAACATATTTAAATTGAAATGAGAAAGCATACTATCAAGATGAAGTAAAATGATTATGTTTCTCCCCACCCTCACCCCCAACTATGCTAGCGGTCAGACCCGTTTAATAAGGAGGTATCTACGTGTCTAAAGGTATCATAAACGAACTCAGGAAAATATCTATTAGTATAAACCTTAAACATTATAAAATGAAAGTGAAGGTTTTCAGATACAAGTAATTACTAACATTAGAATCAATATTAATCTTCTACAAATATAATGTTTGACATCAATGAAATTGTATCATATTAAAGATTTCTTTAGTGTGCATTGTGCATAGTTGTATCCTAAAGCAAATGCTATTATATTTTAAATATAAGACATGGGAATTAAGCCTAGACCACAAAAAGGTCCAAACTAATCTGACCTCCATCGAATCAAAACTTGGGGGCATACTATTACAATTCTTAGCTTGACTAGTGCTAAGCTTTGACCCAATTATTAACTGGGATGCGTATAGGCTTAGGAATTGTGATGAATGGGTTAAAAAGAGTCATATACCTATAAACATGAACATAATATTGAAATGAAATCCTACGAGTTGGAAAAAATTCTAATACCCTCTTAGGGTTTCGTAACAGTCTCCTTTTTAGGGAAGTAAGGAACATTTGCCTCGCAATTGACCCAAGAGTTTATGCTTGGAACTAACGAAATAGAAAACCCTCTGGCTCACAGCACACATATCATTCAATATCTATCCTTCATCAAGAGGAATTTGAAAGAATAGAAATTTACCTGTTTTACTACGCTAGACCGTCGATCCAATAGTTGAGTACTCAGAGGAGAAACAAGCTGCTTTAAGAGCATTGGAAATGACGGGTAGTCGGCAGCGCCTAACAGAAATAGAGTGAAACTTTTTAGCGTAATATCAACTGATAGCATAATGACATATCCAAAGGATAGAATGAGCTGATGAAATTTAGAACATATTTATCAAGCGCGAAACACCTGCTTTAGAGGAACCATTTCAGCCAGATTTCATAAATGCAAATGGAGTTTTCTCAATGCATACAACAATGTTAGTAATGAACCCAAAGTAACACGTAATGCTATGAATTTATGTGTGTACAGTCATTTGACATGCATTTGAAATGTTAAGAAAAGAATAAAGTTAAGGTGGTCTAACCTCCAAAAACCAGTCCTTCAATTCTTTGCATGGCAGTTATACGGAATGACCAATCTTTCTCTGGTATTAGAGTAGATGCTATCTTCTCGAATTCTCGAATCAACTCTTTTTCAGAGTAGACCTTTATCGGATCCACAGGCTTTTCAGTAACGTCAGCCTCCCCTGTAGAACAAGAAAAATCAACATGAACTGCATAAAAAATACAATAAGTAACGAAGCAAGGGAATTTTATGGACAAAGAAAACTGACTACCTCACTCAGTTATATAGCAGAAAAGTCATTGTAGTAGGTCTCCAAATCGACTTAGGTTAATTTAAGAGACACATAATCATAGTCAGATATGTACAAAAAAATAGCAGAAGCACAGAAGGTTGCACAATCCATATCTTTTTTGGGTTGGGACTGTTTATTTTTCCTTTTTTCCCCTTTTCTTTTTTTTCTTTTTTTGGTTGGGGGGGCTGGGGGTCCGAGGGGAGTACTTGACTTCAAATTTCTTCAACAATATAAGGAGTGGACATAAAGCCGCATACGAGAAAAAAAGAAGCAAAAGTTTACAAAAGACTATGAACCGGCAAGAGGAAACAGAATGAAGGAAGCCGAGTTAAAATCAGAATCGTGAAAATAACAGCAGCAATTATATTCTACCTGTGAAGAGATTAATTTTCAGAGTTATATTAGTACTAAGATTCGCAAAATAATGAGGGTATATGTGAGACATCTCAATGCAATGGAGCAGAAATTACATGGTAGACGCCTATCCAATCAGACTGCATACAACTTACAGTTCAATTGATGGGTTGAATACAGACCCTTGAAATAGAGAAAATGGTCACAATCATCTTAGTAGTAAGATTTGCAAAAAGTGAGGGTATATGTGAGTCATCTCAATGCAATGGAGCAGAGGTTACATGGCAGACCCCAGTGGCCCAGTTCAATCAGACTACATACAGATTACAGTATAAATGAATGGTAGTATGGAATGAATGCAGACCCCTTAGTATGGGATGAGCACAGTCCCTTGTGATGTAGTGAAGGATGAGAAAAAGAAAAAACTAATAAACATAAGGCGTGCATGGGTCAGGGAATAGATGGTTCACGGGGTGAAAAGATTAGTTGTGGTTGGTAAAGGGAGGAGAGGAATACTACTTTCTTAATGAGAGGCCTGTCCAAATTAGAAATAGTGGGTGAATGTAAAAGGATATTCCTGAGAGACAATTGCGCCTCTAAGAGTAGATCTGACTGAGATATTTGCCCGTGAGTGAAAAGTTTGTGTGTGTTTGCATACTGTGAACAATTGAAGACAAGTCAAAACGGGCCTTTGATAACTGCAACAAAAAGAACACCAATGAAAAATAATGATGTAGAACCTATGTTGAACCACCATACTCATGGAACAATTGTTAGAAGCCTTCTTTTAGGGACAGTTCACAGTAGTTAATAAACAGTTTGAACCCGCTGGACAACCAAGGTTACCAAGAGATAACAGTAACACTAGTCCAATTCATCATGACTGTTTGCTTCCTGAAACTATTGTATATTCTTCGGATGTTGAATTTTGTAATCAAACCCTTCCCATGAACCAATTAAAGTAAGTAAACCACATATACCAACATAAATGAGTAAATGTCTCTTGTGCAATGACTCCAATGTGCTCATTTACATATTTAGCCGTATGATCCATCCCACCTACCCCCACGCCACACCCATTTACGTGGTAGAATGCATCCATCATCCCCAAATATAGCCCATAAAGAATTTCAATTTGCAGATATGCCCAACAGTGTTGGTTGCTCACAAATTTCTTCTTTCCTGTGAGGGGTGTTGTTTTTTCCCTTCCCTTTTTTAGTAGTTAATTTGGTGGTGGTAATGGTGGTTGTTTCATGTGTGCATGCAAGTTGTCTGTCAGCGTCGAAGTGTTTGCGTGTTGGGGAGATACTGACAGCTAATTACTCCATTAGACAACATATTGATTAATCACAGTGTAGTATAACAGCTGTTTACTCTTTCTCTAAGTTTTAGCAACATTTTTTAGTAAACAAACTCAATAACCAGTTATGCAAATCTTCTTCCTGAATGGCATGTCTCATAAAACTGTATAACCCTCATCAGATCTCCAAATATCTCTAAGGATGCATAGCAAACTCCCAGTATTTTAAATCAATATTACCTCAACTTTTTCCTTCTCAACGGGCACATAAAAAAAAGAATCTATAATTTGAAGTTGGATTCAGGTGAAGAGTGAAACTGACCTGCAGCTCCATAGAATGATGTTTCTCTTGGAGTGCTCTTAGCCCTTGGGCTTCCCTTTCTATGTGCAGGAGTATACGATTTTGTTTCTACAGGTACAAAGCGAGTCAGCGTCCCAGCACCATCTGATGGGTTTACTTTGGGCTCTATCTTTTCTAGTCTTGCGTTAATCTCTTTCATCTGCAGCACAAGACAAGTTATTAGACTCTGCATGTATGCTGCATTTCGTTGGCTAAGACGTCCAAATCTTTCAATGAGGATAGGCCATAAGAGTTGTAAACATAAGCATCTTCACCACAGAACTTGGTGGTCCACTTGTCCTAAAAAAACATTTCAAAATTGGAACAATTTGAGGTTTTACCATTGATGAAGGAAAATGTTGCCGCTGCAGTTCTTCGCGAAATTGAGAACCAACCTGCCTATACATCTCCTACAGGGGGAAAAAAACAATAACATGGATCAGAAAACAAATTCCTAAAATAATGTTAGCATGATGTAACATACAAAGGGAACAACTTTTCAAATCGCCAAGGGTATTCTTATAAGTTCTGTAGAAGAAAAACTATGTTTAATGTAAGGAACATTTTTACCAGCATGTTCAGCACTATTACCATACATTCAATCCATTGCAATCATTCTTGTGGATTTCCATTTCCACAGGAAACATGTAAGCGCTTACCCAATAATTACATACATCAAGCCATATGTTACATAGCTTACCTCCTATTTTCTACTAGAGGTAGAGGGAACCACATACAAAAAGCTAGAAAAAAATAGACGAGAAAAAATATTCAATAATCAAACAAAATTCAGTTTGGGTTAATAATCCAAGAATATCAATTCAATTCAAAGAAATTCCAGCAAACATGGCAATAACGGTAAGAAAGGTAATATGTAGTTTCCATTTGTTGTTGTTAATTAATATTGATTAATATTGAAAACCTAAAATAATATAGTGCACAAAATATCATGAATGTCACACATGCAACAAGGAAAAAATGCAGGGGTTAAGGAAAAAAGGCGTTCAAATCCAAAAGCAATGAAGTCACAGGCTATTTTATCCAAAGAGGGTTACTGTCTTCTGCTATGGCAGACGAGTGTCATCAATTTAGTTGTACTTGGATTGCAAAGAAATTTAAGTATCGCAGAATCTTAATGGTAAAATTTGCTTCCCAATATAGTCTGTTTGGCTGGATGAAGTGGGGTACTTTGTTTGAAAGGGGGCCCTTGAATGGGCAAAGTTTTCTCAACATGATGAAATATACCTTTGATATTCTTGTTCCAACCGTGTCACTCAAATTATACAAGATGAAACATATGCATGCACATATAAATGGGCATACACACGGGATGTAACTAACTTAGTTACACATACCTATAAAAACATTAATGATTCACACCATTCATTGTGATCTATGAATTCAAAACTCAAGTAGATAAAAAAAACACATAGATTTAATATTATTAGTTTATACAACTAGAAATGAATGGCCTGCAACGGTCTCAAATGTCGGTTATTTTGAGTGGCTTGAATTATAGGATAGAAAATTTTAAACCACAATTTGTGATCTACTGAGATTTGATGACATGTAGATAACAATGAACGATTTGGATTTACGATATAAATGGCTGAAAGTGTATTTTGATAGGCATGTGTAACTAAGTTACACACTTTGTGTATTGTAACCATTCCCCATATAAATATATTCATTCATATGCAAGTGTTTACATTTTACAGATGTATTTAAAAGTAAATAAACACATGGACACACACATATATAATATATCCTAGGTATATCGTCTATACACAGAACATATATACATGTATATATTAACATACATATGTTGTATGTTGTATGGTTACATGTACATATATGATAAACCAAAATACATATGAATACCTGGATGTGCACATGCAATACACCATGGTGCAAAAAATGACAAGGTAAGAGAAAGATCTAGTAAAACTTTGAGTTATAACAGGCAACAACCCCAACAAAGCAGACTTCTACATCAATTCGATAAATTATCTAAAATCTTTCGTTTGGACATATGTCTCGCATTTGAAATCGTCTGGGTTATCAGCTATAAAACCAAACCCAATTTTCAAAACCTCAAAACATTGATTAGAACTACAAAGTGCAAACCAAAAAGCTAAAAACTAATTACCTCTAGGCAAAGCTTTTAAAAGCTATCTGTTTCATTCATTTTCATGCCATTTTCCCTGTTCTGTTATTGCCACTAATAAATGCAGAACACTTGAATTGAATGAACCCCCACAATGCATTGAGTAGGTGTTGTAACTCGATAATTACAAGTGAAGCTGATAAAGAATGAGAGAATAAGGGGTGGATAGCCTATGGATGACGTCACAGCTATAATTAGGGACCCAGGTCTCAAATTTGTCTATATCAAACAGAATAGTAGTCAAGATAAATTCAGTTACTCCAATCGGGATATCTAGATTTTCTATGATCTCTCATTTTTCAGGCCTTCACAGAGTGGTTGGTGCTCAATCCGGTTTTGCGCTGTATATCATTCTCCTTTATGAGACCTAACTATAATATTCTTATCGTCTAGTACCCACATTAATACCTATAAATTAAGTGTTAGATAGTAATAACATATTTAATGTTATGAATTATTTTTAATTATACAATACTCGTATGAATTAATGACAGCATAAATAAAAACAATAATAATGAGTTCTCACTAGCAAAACTAATTCGATCTTCTCTTTCTCAAAGTAAATTATATGTTGTTGCTATGTGATAGGGGAAGTGAATTATACAATTATACATTATTCCTATCATATGAAACTCACTCTCGCAATTTGATGTGCTAGTTTAGTTTCAATCTCGCTTTTATCTAAACAAACACCCTCTAAGTTGCAACCCTTAAACTACCCATCCCTCATAACGAAATTTCAGAAATTTCTAGATTTGTTACAGGTATTCCTCCATAGTATGCATTCAAACATCAAATATCATCTTTCTACACTCTTGTATGTACTTAAATCAACCTTAGTTCATGCAGGTCCGCAATAGTATCGATTGTGCACTGCAAATGCAGCAAGCTTACATCTTACAAGGGCACAATTCCAACCCCAAAATCGATTTCAAGGATTAGAGAATCCACATTCACAACCCCTACAACTTCATTCTCTTTCTAAAGAATGAAGTCTTTCATTCAGATTTAGTTATTAATTTATAGAAAGGAATAACTAATTAGATCACTCTGCAGAATTACAGTGGCAAACAAGGGAAAACAGGGCAATGGTAATAAGCCTCTATGTTTACATTGAGCAGAATGCTTGGGTGTACATTTTGATAAACCATGGGACAAGGAAACGTGTGAAAAGAGACATCCTTCTCTGCAAATTTAAGTAACTTAGTTCAGGAGCATCTTGGTCCCAACAATTTAACAAATAATTTTATATATCTCAGCCCAGAAAAAGAAACATTAAGAATGTTGTAAAAAATAGCCTCGGCGGCTGCTCAGACAGTGCGGCAGTCAGGACACCTTGGTTAACCAGGCACCGGCGCACTAGGCAGCACGTACGTGTCCAGAACCTTTGGCATCTTCTAGTACGCTGCATACAAGAATCCTTCTGATGTGCAAAATACCCCATTGGTCGCTTGATCTTAACAAATATAATTTACATCTGCGAACTAGTTTTTTTCCTAGGATCAAACCAAACATATGCTGATAACAGGAAACGACCATCCCACATAGGTCCTAATACATTTCATGTTTAACTGTCTAAAGGAAAAAATAATAATTTGCTTGTATGTAGTTTAATTCATAAAACTAATTTAAAAATGATAACGTCAACAATTTAATTACTTCCGGAACAGCCATCAGTTTCAATATTCTAAAAAGTTGAAAATTGTATGCTAACCTCAATGCAGAAAGTAGCAGCTTCTCTAACACTATAGTTTGAGTCATTTAATAGTTGCAAAACCTGAAAGACAAAAACAAAGGGTTAACTGTGGATGGATCTAAGACACATAAACATATCAAAAAGGCATGAGAGAGACACTCACAGGAGGAAGAAGAACTCTTTGGAGAGTGAGCTCAGTAGAAGCAAAAAGACCGACTGCTGCTGCAACCGTCCTGGCAAACTCTTCACGTACTCTCCAACTCTTATGAGACCAGGCGTAACTTCCAGCTCTCTCCACAATGATGGTGGGTGACGAGACCTAAGACATATGCAATCACTAATATTAGTTCCAATGTTGCTCTTTTTTCTGATCAAAAGCACTCAAGATGAGGGCTTTTTAAGCCACAACTCAATATGAAAGCCTGAAATAATGCACCACAGGTTCCTCTCCCAATGCAAAAGGTTGCTAAAATTTTATAATCGTCTCCAATTACTAAAACTCCAAATAATATCTAGAAAAGAGAAGATTCACTCACTCTCACCCTTCACTAAAAGCACACGGATAAAAGCTAATTTCATCTTCGATTACTGCAATCCCAACTAGATTTGTGATCCAGCATCAAAACCAACAGATCGCTACCACATCAATGCGAGACTAAATAAAACATCTAAAAAAAAAGTTTTAAGTTTTTCAACAATCCCAAACCTCCATCAACGTGATCAACAACTGCCTAGCCGCATCCCGAACCGGCTGCTTCCCATCGCCCAACCTCTCAACGATCGCCGGCACCAACCCGTTGAAATGAAGCTTCAGGTGCTCGCCCGAGAGAACAGCGGCAGACGACAGCGCTTGCAGCGCGCCCTGCGAAACCCTAAAATTGTTGTCCTTCATCAGATCCGTGCAGCAATCGACGAGGGAGGTGACCTCCGACGACGAGAGGGTTTTGGTCGAGGACTCGAGGTGCTGGTGGAGGCGCTCGACGCCGGCCATTCGCTCTTTTGTGTCCTTGGCTCGCGCCATCTCGAGAGCCTCCTCCATTTTCAGGGTTAGGGTTTCGGATCTGGGCCAATTTTGGGGGGCTTTTGGGGGAATCCTTGGGGGAGTAGAGGGTGATGAGAGCGTGTGGGTTTTCGCTGGAGATTGGAGGAGAGCGTGGTGGAGTGAAAAAAAGGAAGTGCCAGTGGTGGTTGAGGGGGTGCGCTCACCGCTGATGTTTGAGGAATTTACAGAGGGATGCCACTGTTTTGTTTGCGAGGATATTTTGCGTTTAGGGACTCCTAAGTTCAAATGTTTATAATAACACAAAATAAAATGGATTTTTTTTTTTTTTGGAATCCTTAAATTTTTCCTGTTTAGCCCCTGCTTTTTTGTTTCTGTTCAACTCTAGGAAACTTGATAGGGATAAAGTAAAGTGCATTTATTCAAGGCTAAAAAAGCTAACTTGGGTTCCGCACTCAAATTGGTCCCATACTTTTTTTTTTTTTCTCAACTTAATTTTTGTATCACACCTCAGCGACAAATTAGATCCTTTTTTGACATTCATTAACTATTAAGTGTTTAATTTTTTGTTTATGACCACATTACCCTCAACCCCTATACTTTTGGTTTTGGACACTTTTGTACTGGATGAACTTGATTTTTTTTTTCCCGTGTATTTTTTTTGTTTATCATGTAGATAAACATAGCTGTCGGGCCGTCGGCCGATAAGTGATGAAGTTAGAAGACAAAAACTTATTTGCGTGTGTGCTAATATGTGTATGATAGATTTCTTTTAGCCTTACATATTTCTGTATGTGATCATTCACAAAGTTCAACTGCTGCTTATAGTTCTTTCATGCAGTTACGTCTCTAAAATTGTCATTGCAACTTGCCTTATACTCTTAAGTCATCATCCAGATATGGCACAAAAAATTCCATTAATTCCCCCCCAAAAGGTTTTTTTACAGAGTTTTAGCACTTAAACCCCCAAATTAGAAAAATATGATTTTTCTTGCTAAAAAATACAAATTACAACAGACCCTAAAACTAAAAATCACAAAAAAAACCTCCTACAATCTGAAAACTTCCAAACAACCCTTGGAAAAATGAGACTTCCAGAAAGCTATTTGTAATTTTGAAAAATTGATAGGGTTGTCTATAAAACTTTTAGGGGCATTTGTGTAAAGTTTGAAGATACTGTTTATAATTTTTAAAATATTTTGAGTAGCAGTTTCTAGTATTATCATGAGTTACTTGTAAATTTAAAATATTTTAGGGACTTTTTTTGTAAAATTTTCAAGTGATTTTTTATAAATTTTCATGGAGCTATTTATAATTGATAAATTTTAAAGGGGTTGTTAGTAAAACTTTTAGCGTGTGCTCTTTACGATTTGAAACTTTTAAGGTTTTAATGGGTTTTTGGTAATATTCGATTTTCCAGGAGCTGTTCGTAAGTTTAAAATTTTCTGGAGGCTACTTTTCTATTTTTAAATCTGTTACATAATTTTTGTAATTTTCTAGAGAAAACATTGTGTTTTCAAATTTGGGGATGTTATTTTGGAAATATGGATAACTTGAGGGTATATATAGAAAAACTTCCTTTTTCTTGCCGTGCTTGATGTTTAGCGCATTTTCGTCCATGTAAAATTGTGAAGTAATTAATGATCCTTTTGTGGGATAAGTGGAAAAAATCAAAATTTTATGGGGACTTTCTAATATTCGCAAACTTATTAGAGGTTTAGTGAGAGTTAACTTTTTGCTGGACTTTTTGAAACTTATTTGGGGTTTACTGCAATTTACCCTAATTTAAATACACGAGGTTAGTTTCCTCAAAGCTTCTCCTGTACATTAGGTCTTGAACCCACCAATAACTGGGCTCTTGACGTGTGATTAAATAGAGTAACAACTTATCAAAAGAAACATCAAAATCTATGTCAGCAAAACTAGGCTGATTGCAGGGAGAACATCGGGTGTATCCTAAATATAAATCAACCGTGCATAACATGAGGTTTTCAATAGGATTCTGTTGATGTTAAATGATCATATAGTCAATTAAAGTTGGTTGGATGGGGTGAAGTTGATGATGAGTCACTTCTCTTGGCCTTCTTGTTTTGATGATGATTTACAAACAATTTACATCTAATATTGTTTGTCTAGTGTTTGTGTTTTATATTTATTCTAGGCAAACAATATGTTGGAGGATGGATGGAATAGAGCTTCAACGATCATATCCAAAGGAGGTTGGCGGAATGTCGGATTGAAGCCTATACAATTCAAGTTAAAGATCAAGTTCAAGCTTCATCCGCAACGGGTACCAAGTCAAGCTAAATTGAAGATCAAGATTTCTTGGGTAATGTAGTTTAGGATTTATATTATGTGTGTTAAGTACGTTAAGCTCAATATCTATACACACACATTATATTGGTTTTCATATATATATATATATATATATATATATATATATAGTGATATATATATATATATATATATACATATGTTTTTGGTTTTATAGTTTTCGGGCTTATACATGAAACAAATGCATAGGATTGGAAAATACTATTTAGTTTCATGTTTATATGTATATATATGATTTCATCTTTAACAAGCTTATATTATACTCATAGGTTTCATTTTCTATTGTATTTGTGAAAATATTGTATTCTTAGTTTATAGACTTCAATATCAGTTTATACATGTTTTACTAAGTCTACAAAAACATTTCACAAAGTTTTAAAAGTTGGTTTAAGTCAAATATCAAAATATCAATTTTCATATTTTCATGTTTTGGACTATTTTGTAAAATGATGATATTTTTCATTTGGGAAGTCCTTTTTCGAAACCAGTCGTTGTAGCATGTTTATTATCATGTCTACAATCATTCTCTAAAGTTTTACATTTTTTGGAATTTATTTGATATTTTTAAACAGTGTTTTAAAATCAGCTTTGTTTTCTGAAATATCTGTTTTCGGTCGACCGGTACGGTCGACCGGTCATTTGACCATTCGTCAGTATTTTTCCAGAGAATCGTCGGTCGACCGGTACGGTCGACCGAGAGCTCAAATCGGTCGACCGACAGAATTTCCGGTCGACCGACGTTAGTCCAGAATGTTTTCTTCGTGTTTTTGCTCTCATCGGTCGACCGACGGGATTTTCGGTCGACCGACAATATGACCGTTGTCTTTTAACGGCTCTTTCTCTGAGCTGTTTGCTGGGGTTTTTGGTTATTTTGTTTTGAGGGTTTTTTGCTGAGATTTCTAGTGGGTATATATACCCCATTGCTGATGTCTTTTCAAACCAATCAAGAGAGTTTTTAAAACAAGTTTAAGAAAGTTTTAATCAAGGGTTTAAGTTTGTTTAAAGTGTGTTTATAAGCTTTTAAGCATTTGAGTGTTTCGATTTTGTGAATCAAATTCCACAAGAGCTTGAGGAGATTATCTATTGAAGTTTGAGCTTCCAACTATCATCCCTCCATCTCTTGTTATCAAATTGAGAAGTTTTCTAAACTCAAACTCTAGCTTTACATTTATATACTTGTTTGATTATCATTGTTCTTAAGCTAGATTTTATATTTGAGTTTAGTTTGATTTTGATTTATATCTCTTTGTTCACACACAACCTATTGAGCTTATTGTATTTACATTCATAGTATAATTTAGGGTTGTGGGTTTGTGACATTGAGAGTGAGCTTAATTGAGTTCTCATCTTGTTAGAGAGAACAATCATTTGTTATATTGTGCTTATTGTGAGAATCACTTTGTAATACACTTGTACACCGAGTGAGGAGTGTGTGGTGAGAGTCGGGGATCGTCCCAAGAGGAGTGGCGTCGGTTGACGTGCCTAGGGAGAGGTCGTAACCGAGCACTTGAGGGAGACACGGCTAGGTCCAACACTTAGTGGGTGTAGAGTGTGATTGCAAGAGTGTGAGTTGTAGAGTTTTCGGTTAGCTAGAAAACCGAGTGTGTAGAAGAAGTTCCGGCTTCCAAACCGGATTGTGTTAGTGGATTTCTCCCCGGGAGTGGGGAGCGGAGACGTAGGACGGAAGGTCCGAACTCCGTGATCATATTGCTTAAGGTTTGATCGTTCAATTTGTGGACCTCTCGTTCATGGAACGAATCGAGAGGGGATTTTGGCTTTGGTCCTAACTGTTTAAAGGTTTGACCAAGATGGGAATTTGAGACGATCCTAACTGTTTAAAGGTTTGATCGTTCAATTTGTGGACCTCTCGTTCATGGAACGAATCGAGAGGGGATTTTGGCTTTGGTCCTAACTGTTTAAAGGTTTGACCAAGATGGGAATTTGAGACGATCCTAACTGTTTAAAGGTTTGATCGTTCAATTTGTGGACCTCTCGTTCATGGAACGAATCGAGAGGGGATTTTGGCTTTGGTCCTAACTGTTTAAAGGTTTGACCAAGATGGGAATTTGAGACGATCCTAACTGTTTAAAGGTTTGATCGTTCAATTTGTGGACCTCTCGTTCATGGAACGAATCGAGAGGGGATTTTGGCTTTGGTCCTAACTGTTTAAAGGTTTGACCAAGATGGGAATTTGAGACGATCCTAACTGTTTAAAGGTTTGATCGTTCAATTTGTGGACCTCTCGTTCATGGAACGAATCGAGAGGGGATTTTGGCTTTGGTCCTAACTGTTTAAAGGTTTGACCAAGATGGGAATTTGAGACGATCCTAACTGTTTAAAGGTTTGATCGTTCAATTTGTGGACCTCTCGTTCATGGAACGAATCGAGAGGGGATTTTGGCTTTGGTCCTAACTGTTTAAAGGTTTGACCAAGATGGGAATTTGAGACGATCCTAACTGTTTAAAGGTTTGATCGTTCAATTTGTGGACCTCTCGTTCATGGAACGAATCGAGAGGGGATTTTGGCTTTGGTCCTAACTGTTTAAAGGTTTGACCAAGATGGGAATTTGAGACGATCCTAACTGTTTAAAGGTTTGATCGTTCAATTTGTGGACCTCTCGTTCATGGAACGAATCGAGAGGGGATTTTGGCTTTGGTCCTAACTGTTTAAAGGTTTGACCAAGTGGGAGTTTTGAGACGATCCTAACTGTTTAAAGGTTTGATCGTTCAATTTGTGGACCTCTCGTTCATGGAACGAATCGAGAGGGGATTTTGGCTTTGGTCCTAACTGTTTAAAGGTTTGACCAAGATGGGAATTTGAGACGATCCTAACTGTTTAAAGGTTTGATCGTTCAATTTGTGGACCTCTCGTTCATGGAACGAATCGAGAGGGGATTTT